CACAAGCTAAGTATGTTCCCCTACTGGGAATAGAACCTCCAACCTTTTGGTGTACAGGACAATGCTCCAATCACTGAGCTGCCCAGCCAGGGCAAAACTCTTAATTTTAATTAATTGTTAAAGACTCCAAGCAGGGTAATACAAAATACATATTTGTCAAGATATTAGTAAAGCTTTACCCTCAGCATTACATAAAAAAATTTTCAAGACCTAAGAAAACAGCTTCAAATAAACACAGCTATAGCAAAGGATGACAAGATAATACATATATACTTTCTCAAAAATCTGGTTCACAGTAGATTATATATGAATGATATATTGAAATCAACAAGTGTTACCACAATAGTTTTACTTCTACAGATAATAAGTGGGACAATATATATACCAGCTGCAGAAGGCAAATTAAAATATAAAACAGTGTCAGTGAAATACAAAGAACTAAAGAACCAAAGAACTAAAATGTATTTCCAGAAAATATACATATTCTCTGGAAAATATGTATAGTTTATCTTCTAGACTCTAGAGTCAGACTTCCTGGGTTCAATAACCTGGTGATGTTTACCGTGACTCTGGGCTGGCTATTTAAACTATCTAATTCTGATCCTAGCATTATTTCACTGTATAGTTGGGGGAATTAAATGATAGTACATAAATATTAAAATTTAATAGTTTTCTACTTTAAACAAAAAAGTATATGTAAAACCCCTTTTTTACATAAACATATATGAAATTTTAAGAATACTGTTTAACAGCTGTAACATATATTATTTTTATGTTGTAATTACCTATTTTCCCCTCTTTATTCGTGTTTTCTTTTAACATGTTTATAATAACTATTTTGGTACTTGCATGCTGATTCCATTAGCTCTGTCATTTCTGGTTATATTTTCATTAATTGATTTTTTTCTCATGTTTATGAGTTGTACATTCTTCTTCACATGTTGTGATTTCTGAATGGCTATGAGACACTGAAGATAGCATGTTGTTGAGGTTCCATGTTATACTGTTCTAGCATGCAGTTAATATAGCTGTGAATCAGCAAGATCCTCTCAAGGCTTGTTTATAAGCCTTGAGAAGGCTGTGTTAGGACCCATTCAGCATAGACTATATTATCCCAGGACTATAAATCACCAACCCTACTGCTAAGGTGTGACCTGTTAGGGTCTCCACCAAATGCCCAGTATTAGATAAAGTATTGCCAATATGTCTAGATAGAATTAAGATTGCCTTAAGCACTGTGTGAGCTCTGGCCATTGTTCAGCTCATAGATTGTTTGTAGTAGTTCTTTACTGAGTAGTTTGTCTTCACTTGGCCTTGTGAAGTGTCTTTCTGCACACGTGCAGGTTAGTATTCAACAATCAACAAACCTCTACAAATTTCTTGAGCTCTTCCTCTTCAGTTTTCTTCTCTGCATTACCCTGACACCAGTGCTCCTGAGCTCCTAGGTCTGCCCCTTCAGGTTGGGAAGCTGCCATGACTTGGCTAGGCTCCACCTAGCCAGAAAGGGCCCCACCCCCAAATTCACGCCCATCACAGGGCTCACATCATGTTTGTTTCTCTACAATCATAATTCAGTATTGCCTTTTGTCTTTAATTCTCTAACTCATATATGTGTTCAGGTTTTTGCTACTGGGAAGGATACTGTTAACAGTATATTTTCATGACATTTAAAATTATTTTTCATACTTTCTGAGAAATTGTATTAAAATAATTAGACATTTTATATACATTCTCTAATATATCATCTTTACATGCAAATCTGGAATACAAATTACCAATAAGAGTTGAATGTAGTTAATTCAAATAAAATCAACTTCTGAAATATTGCCATTAGTTTCAGAAAATGATTTAATTTTATATCAGAGGTCAAAATCCATACAGCAACAACCTCGATGTCCAACAAAAGACTAAATAATTTAAGGAAGAGGAATATCATAAAATACTTTTGAGCCCCTAAAAAACATCACATTTTCTTAATAGGAAAGCAGAATACAAAACAATGTACTATATAACATCAATATTTTGGGGGGAGCAAATAACTCTGTGCAAGAGATATAAAGAAAATATAAAATTTGAAGAATGATTTCCATATTTATATTTTTATGTACACTTTCCTGCAAAATCTGTATTATATATAATAAGGATATATTATTTATATCTGATGAAATTTTTAAACCATTTTGTCTTGAGATTTATAATAACCATCTAACATATAAAGTCTAACTTGTCTTATTTTCTTGTTTGTATATCTACCTTTCCATTTCACCTTACTTTTCTGAGTGTTCCTGTTCTGTTTCTATGATTTCATGATTGCCATATGATGATATTTCTCAAGTTTCAATGTATGACCCTTTTTCTCTTGAGTTTTAGTTTCATATTTCTATCTGCCTACATTTATATTACTTCAATATTTCCTTAACTTCAAAATATCCAAACTCAACTTACTTGGTTTAGAAATAGGCACTCCCTCTCAGCTACCTAATTCTTTTTGGTGATAACATCTTCCCTTGCTCTTAGTTTTACAATATTAATGTTCCCACTGATTCTCCTCTCTCCTTCACATTAACTCTTCCCTTGAGTCCTTTGGATAACACCTCTTATATCCAGTGATTACTGCTGCTTGTGGAAGATTCACTGCATGAGTATCCCAAATAAATGGCATCGCTATATTCACACCCACTGCCTTACTCTGACTCCATTTCTTACCAGCATGTTACTGAATCTCTGATCCTTTTATGTAAGGGACACCTTGGACTCACTACATCAATAGTAATTCTATCATCTTTTTACAGTGAAAAAGCTGAAAAAACAAAGAACTGTGTTTTCCATACTTCCTCGCTGCTAGGGTTCTGAGTATGTTGTTGGTTCAGATACAAATGCACTCACAAAAACTTTGTAGTTGAAACTGATTCAGAGTGGGACAGGTACAGGACATCTACTCCTCAGTTTACAATGCAGCCAGACTCTTCTCTGGACACTCTGTAGCAGCAGCTGTTTGCTGCCTCAACAGGCAGCTTACAGGCCATTATGGCAAAGGCAGCAATTCCTTTGGTAGCTAAATTCTGCTCTGTGGTTATGGGAGTCATTCATGAAAGCAAGGCCTGGAGTCTCTTCAGCCCTCCTTACAATTCCATAGCTCTTCATGCATCCTTTTAGACATCAATTGGCTGAAGTTAACGAATAGTTTCCTTGTCTTTAAATAACAATAATAATATCTTGATGGGATATTAGAAGAATTGATGGGGAAAGTTTATGTATTAACACATATTACCAGCAGAAAAGTAGTTACTGTTCTTGTATTATCTTAGTGGCATAACAATCATAAAACTAAGGTTTGAGTTAAATCTTTAGCATATGTTCTTTCTGCCATCTTGGTCAAGTTGTTAACTGCTCTGAGGTTTGATTTATCTGTAAACTAGGTAAAATTATAACTGTTTCATGGAGTTTTTAAAAAAGATTTTGCTTATTTATCTTTAGAGGGGAAGAGAAGGAGAGAGGGAGAGAAATATCAATGTATGGTTGTGTCTCATGTGTCCCCTACTGGGAAGTGGCCTGCAACCCAGGCATGTGCCCTGACTGGGAATCGAACCATGATCCTTTGGTTCGAAGGCCTGCACTCAATCCACTGAGCTACACCAGCCAGGGCTGCTTCATGGAATTTTATGAAAATTAAATAAAAGTTATTTTCTGTAGATTTTTATTCACCACACAAATAATCTCATTAGATTAAACTAATTTTCTGCAGTACTTCCTGTTAAATGCCATGACCTCACCTGTTTCCTCAGAATCCTTGACATACATTTTTACAAAAACACCTGGTGCTTCTATATTCTCTTATTCTCTCTTTTCCAACTCAAAGGCATTTTTCAAGTTATTCCTTTCCCATGGAGTCTTTCAGGGACTTGTAACCTACCTTGATCACTTCCTTGATCTTGGAGTTCCTGCAAACAGCACTATGTGTTTCAACGCTTCATTTTTTCCCAATTACTATATATATATACCTTATTTCTTTCTGAAATTGACTTTTAGGTCCTTGAGATTGGCAGCAATTACTTTTAAAAAGTTATCTAACAGAGTTCTTAAGAGTATTTATCATTTAGTAGTCACTTGAAAAAATTTCCAACTGGATGATTTACCAGTTATACAGTGAATTCAATTAGGTTATATAATATTTTTGGAATATGTCATTCAATATAGAGAACTTAAATAAAAGAACTTGGTTAAAAACTATTTGGAATTATATATATATCTCTATATATATCTATATCTATATATATCTATATATATATGTATGTATATGTTTTATTATTAATTTTCCTCTTTACCAAAACATTCTACCTGTTTCTGATTTCCTTTACTTGTTCTTAATTCTACCATAGAAACAACAATAATATTAAATGAGCCAACAAAATGAATACATACCACATTCAGCAGTAAAATAGGGGAATGACTGCTGCTCCTCAGACATATTCATCAACAGTGATATAAGACCTGGCACATATAAAAGGGCTTAGAACCCTGGTTTTCAGCCTCAGGTACACACTGTAATCACCTGGACAGCCTTAACCACAGAGACCTCCAGGTAATATGAGTAGTATTTAGCTTGGCAACAAGATATTTAAAAGTTAGCCAGATGGTTCTCACAAGCAATTAGGAGAAAGAACCCTGGTCAGAGGCTGTGCTGCACTTAGCACCCTTTGCTCTTACTGCTTTGCTGTAGGCACATGCTACCTGTGTGGAGATTTCAGGACACGCACCTAGGCATTCCGCTGCTGTCACCAGGGGCACCACTGATACACACATACAAGTACAGATGACAAGATGTTATACTTTGAAAACATTTTTCTGAATGATATTTCTATAATTTCAGTAGGCAGTAATATTTGCATACATTAGAAATAAGGTAATAACTAAAATATCAGATTTGCAAGAAGTGTGGAGACAGGGAGGAAAAGACTACAGCTGTATTAACAATAAAGGAAAGTTATAGTTTCCAGTACCTGATTGATGGCATCCAGATCATCAATGAAGCTATTTACTTCTGATAGAAGCAGAGATATTACAGATTTTCTTAACAAGCTGCAATTTCCCAGGGTTACCAGACTCTGAGAGACATAATGCTGTACCTGAAACTGAGGATAAAAATGAATAGGTTTTTACTTTTAAAAAAATTATTTATTTATTTTTAGAGAAAAGGGAAAGGAGGGAGAGAGGGATACATCCATGTGTGGTTGCTTCTTACACACCCACTACTGGGGACCTGGCCCACAACCCAGGCATGTGCCCTGACTGGGAATTGAACTGGCAACCCTTTCATTTGTGGGCTATACTGTGTCCACTGAGCCACACCAGCAGGCAGGGGCAGGTTTTTACTTTTTATCAAGTCGGGTTAAAATACAGGGTCTGGGAAAAATAACACCTCTGTTTTTAACAAAATCTTTTATTATAAAATCATTAGTATGTAATTCTGTAACATAACAATATCACACTCAAGCACACCACATATTTTAGGTGAAATGTTCAAATTAAAACTATAAATTGTTAGACCCATATTATTACCCTACCAACCACACTCATGCAGGCGTTACTTCTGCTGGGCACTGTATGCTTAGTGGGCATTTTTTAAGACTTCACCACTGAGCTCCAGGCTGTGGGAAGTAAAAAAGTGTCAACATAATTCTAGGTCTCAAGAAAAAGTATGAAATATATGTCATAATAATTAATAAAATTTAGGTAGCAATTAATATTTTGAATTGTATGACAAGGTATTAAAATGGAAATTTTAGCTAAGTATCAAAAGAGGATGTAATCGTTTAGATGGTAAGACTACATACAGAATAAATAGAGATGACAAAACAAGACTCTTAAGCCTTAGCCACTAGATATAGATGTGTGCATGTATATGTAAATGTATATATAGAGAGAGATATAAAAAAGGGTGGAAAAGAGAGGTTTGGAGATGTCGGAGGGGGAGGTATTGACATACTATTGCGTCCTACCTCCACGCTGGAGAGGGACAGGTGGGAGGGAGGACTTCTCTATTCCCCACAAGTCAAAAGCCAGGAGTGAGGAGAAAAAAAATGAGAGGCTCTAAATTTTTTATCTAGAGGAAACAAAAGTACTCACTATTAAATAAAATAAAAAGAACAGTGGGAGACAATAAACTATTTCACATTTAATTATTAAGGAAAAAGCCACTTGATTATTAATCACATTAAATGTATATATAACTGTAGCTGGAAGGTCTTTAAATATATTCTTTAAAATAGCTGGGAGAAAGGAGGCTTCAAGGAGAATCTCAAACCCAGAAACAGCATCTACCTTGTGATTGTTCCATATGAACTTAAAAAGCATATTAGACATGAGAAGCATAAGAAGACATTGATTTTATATACAAATGTTTAAATGATTAACATAATTAAATGAAACATGTCTCTGGTGAACTTTATGAAATGTAGGTTATTTCTCAAATTGACATATTAATGATGTATTTTAACTTAACATTAATCAATGACAATAAGTAATGAATTATAGAATTCAAAAGCAATTTTTATTATAATTCTGGACATGCAATACTAGCTATTAAGAAGTTTTCTTTCTTTGTAGGAAAACATCTTTTAGTTTTTTAAATTGTTGTTCAATTACAGTGGCACTGATTTTCCCCCCATTACTGTCCCTTTCCCTACCCACCCCCACCTGCCATTTTTAATTCTCGCCCCCCCATTGTCTTTGTCCATGTGTCTTTTTTAAAGATTTTATTTATTTATCTTTAGAGAGGAAGGGAAGAGAAATATAAATATATATTAATAAATATACATTTATTTATTAAATGTGTATTTAATAAATAAGATAAATAAATAAGATTTTATTAATCTTTAGAGACGGGAAGAGAAATATCAATGTATGGTCACCTCTCGTGCATTCCCTGCTGGGAACTGGCCCACAACCCAGGCACATGTCCTGACTGTGAATCAAACTGCAATTCTTTGGTTTGCAGGCCTGCACTCAGTCCACTGAGCTATGCCAGCCAGGGCTGTCTATATGTCCTTTATACATGTTCCTTGACTTGACCCTTCCCCTTCTTTCCTCTGTTATGCCCTTGCCCCCTCCCCTCTGGTCACTGTCAGTTTTTTCTTTATTTCCATGTCTCTGATTCTATTTTGCTCACTTGCTTTTTGTTCATTAAGTTCTTGTTATAGGTGAAATCATATGGTATTTGTCTTCCACCACCTGGCTTATTTCACTTAGAATAATGCTTTCCAGTACCACCCATGCTGTCATGAAGAATGGGGGTTCCTTCTTTCTTTCTGCTGCATAATATTCCATTGTCTAAATGTACCACAGTTTTTTTTTTTGATCCACTCATTTACTCTTGCATTTAGGCTCTTGCTAGCAGTTGGCTATTGTAAGTTGTGCTGCTATGAACACTGGGCTACATAGGTTCTTCTGAATTGGTATTTCAGGAATCTTAGGGTATAATCCCAGAAGTGGAATTGCCAGGTCAAAAGGCAGTTCTATTTTTAGTTTTTTTGAGGAAATTCCATACTGTTTTCCAGTGGCTGCACCAGTCTGCATTCCCACCAGTAGTGTATTGGAGTTTCCTTTTCTCCGCAACGTTGCCAGCATTTATTGTTTGTTGATTTGTTTATGATGGCCACTCTTATTTGTTTATGATTGGTGCAAAGTGTATCTCACTGTGGTTTTAATTTGCATCTCTCTGATAGCTAGTGATACTGAGCATCCTGTGTGGGCATATATCTCTGGGCCCTCTGTATGTCCCTGTTGGAGAGATGTCTGTTCAGATCCTTTGCTGCCCATTTTTAATTGGATTGTTTGTCTTTCTGTAGTGGAGTCCTATGAGTTTTTTATATATATTTTGTAGATCAAACCCTTGTCTGAGGTATCATTGGCAAATATATTTTCTCACATGGTTGGTTCCCCTTCCATTTTGCTGATGTTTTCCTTATCCAGGCAGAAGCTTTTTAATTTGATGTATTCCCATTTGTTTATTTTTTTCCTTTATATCCCTTGCACTAGGGGACATATCAGTAATAGTTTTCTAAATCAACTTACCAACTTAATCATAAAACCATATCAATATATTACCATAGAAATCAGTTATTTATCTTGTTATTTCTGAAATATGTAATTGGCTAAGACTCACACCCTTCATAACTCTCCAGTACCATTTATTATTTTCTGATTTTTTACATTTTGGTTTGTGTCTAAAAGAAAGAGTACTCTTTATATCTAGAGTACTCTAAGCTCTATGGAACCTCTGTTGAGTATTTTGCTAATTCTCTAAATGTTTACTTATCTCCTTTCTCAGTGCTTCTTAATGGGATAACTTAAAGTGAAGAAAGAGTTCACAGTAAAATAAAAGGGACTGTAGTGACTGAGCTAGGTTTGCAGAATCTGAATCCAACCCTACCTGAGTCAAAACCCACCTCCACTGCTTATTGACTTATACTAGCAATGTACATCAGCTTTTAAGTTTCAGGTTCGGCAGTTGTAAAATGGTAACTGTCATAGCATCTACTTCCTAAAATTGCTGTACATGTTAATACAATAAAAAAATGGTTAACATAGTGCCAGGCACCTAGTAAGTACTCAATATGGTTAAAAGTTATTATATCATAGGATGATAATATAAAGCACTGAAGTTTATATAAGGTTAATTCACTGACCCTTGAAAAGTTAAATACTGTAAATGAAATCTGTTTTTCTAGAGGTAGTAGAGTCCTATTAGAGAACACTGTTGAGAATAAAATTTCATCAGAGAGATTTTCCCTAATATGGCTATGAACTATTGTCTCCCCAATATGACTAAAGTTCACGTGAGAGCAAAAACTAAGTATATAACCATTAGGTAAGTAAAATTTTGTGAACAACTTTATAAAAATGGTTTATCTTCTTCCTTATATCTTAACTGACATTTGCCTTTCTGTAAATACAGTGGAACTCTTGAGAGAGGCTGATAAGGAGGTCAGGGCTCAAACAGCATTTTACTCTAGGCTATTGTGGTGGACACCGTGGAAGGACTTGTCAAACACCCATGACATTATTATCTGTTCTAACACACCCTCCTGTATTTCAGGGACTGGAGAGCTAGAAATAAATTTCCCAGTTTTGTCTGTAATTAGGGTTTTGATATGATTTGCATTCTGCCAATCAGATCCAATCATTTGAGACCCTGATTTAGAAGAGGCACAGAAGAAGAGAAGCAGGGCACGAGCATGCATTTTGTTGGTGCAGATTGTGGCAGAGGTGGCATGGTTCTCACTCATCCTGCAGCTGTTCAAAGGCTTCCTACTTTTATAAATTCTTAATCTTGTCAGAAGCACCAAGATGCTACCTGTGTGGCCCAGTAGTTCAGGGCAGTTGCTCCTATAAACTCAGCCTTCCCAAAGTGCCTCGATCTATATATTCTCCTGGAAGACTTAGAGAGCTCCGTGTCAGATGGAAGTCTTGACTTATGCAGAGGTGGAAACTCCTATCACATGCCCAATAAATTTGTCTATTTGACCTGTGCAGAAGAAGGAAGGATTCTGAAGAGTATCATAAACTTAATGAGGCAGTGTTTGTAAGTACACAGTGCTGCCATTCCAGATGTTAGCCTTTGATACTTGTTAAGCAGATTCTGATTTGGGAGCGTTTTTTTGTTGTTGTTGTTTTTTGCTGCCTCAATAAGGATAACATGAAGCAGTTTACATTCACCCAGGAGATTTAAGGCTTGTCAACTTGTTTGGACTGAGCCATTATTGAGCTCATAGCATTCCGATCATCAAAGTCTTTCACAGGGCATCACGCTCATGCACTGCACTGAGGATACCATGCTGATATGGCAGGGGTTTTGAAGGCCCTGGCAAAATACATACATTTCAGAAAGAGAATTGAACAATTCAGATGCCAGATATACTTGGGGTGTTTCTGGGTCTTTGCATGGTTGAAGAACCCTCCAAAGTGAAAGAAAAGTTGCTTTGGTTTATATTTCCTATCATTAATGAAAATATATAGTGCTTGATGGCCTTCTGTGAATATCTGAGGTAATAAAAATCCACTCTGTTTATCTCTTGAATACATACATTGAGAGATCTTAAGGCCATAAACTCTGAGAAGGGCCCAGAGTAGT